CTCAAGGGCTAGAATTGCAATTTGCCTTGACCAATGGAATGCAGTGGAAGTGATGTTTGTGACTCCCAGAACCAGGCTTTACTTAAAAGGTGTTACAGCTTCCATGACTGCCCTCTTGCAGGCCGGCAAGATGTCTTAGAATCTTCATAGTTTGTTTGTCAGCCCTCTTAAAGGGGAAAAGGGTCAGATCAGGAGCTGTAGATGTGAGGATATTAAGTAGTCATTCAGACCAGTTAATATCCTCACATCTACAGCTCCTGATCTGACCCTTTTATATAGGGAATGGGAGAGCACCAAAGACTAACTGCCCCTACCAGGCCTGGTTGTTTTTGCTGAGAAGGAACCAAGGAATGAAGCAGAGGGACTTCCAGGTGGTGGTTTCAACTGGCTTTGGAAACTAGTTGACCTGCCCTGGGTGTGGCACTTGGCAGGGCCAGAGCTGTTAGCGTTGGCTGATGTAAGGACTTATCCATGAGTCAGAATGATAACCATAATTGTGTTAGATGGTTGCTGGCCCTTGGATCGATAGAGCAGGGCACTTTTCCTATCCATTGGCCCTGGGAATTGGCTCCTAAACACATTGCAAAAGCCCTATTGCCAAAGCTACCCCAAATACTGTTATGAGTTGAATTGTGTCTCACCCAAATTAGTATGTTGAAATTCAAACCCTTAGTATCTCAAAATGTGAAGGTACACTATTTCCACTTATCTGGAAATAGTGTCGTTCCAGATATAATTAGTTAAAATGAGGTCAGACTGGAGGAGGGTGGGCCCTATTCCAATCTGACTGATGTCCTTATAAAAAGAGGAAATTTGGACACATGGAGAGAACACGGCGTGAAGATGAAGGCAGAGACCAGGTGATGCAGGAGCCAAAGAATGCTGAAGATTGCTAGCAAGCCACCAGGAGCCAGGCAGGCGGCACAGAACACATTCTCGCTCAGGGCTCTCAGAGGGATACTTTATCTTGGAATTCTAGTCTTCACAACTGTGAAACAATGCATTTCTGTTATTTAAACCTCCCAGTCCATGGTCTTTTATTACGGCAGTTGTTGGAAACGGATACAAGCACCCATGCCTCTTCCTCCCTTTTCCTCGAATCTCTACAGTTCTGGGTAAATGATCACAGGGATGAACTTGTGCCTATGATAAGGAAGCTGCCAGATGGCATCAGGTAAATCTGATGCCAGTTAAAAATGAAAATTCTCATTTCTTCAAAAAGGTTTCTGAAAGTCAATTTATTGGATATTTCAGGTACAAAGAAAAGGCGACAATTTTTGATAGGAGGGCCACTTTAATACATTGGAAATTATACCAAATAAGTTGTTTCCTCTACTTTCTTTGAAACCTTTTTACCCAAGCATGTCTTCACATATTCTAGAGTTTTCTGGGAGTTAACCGTCAGTTGTTTTTCTCCAGAAACCTGATTTATCCTAACTGTATTAGGATTGGCACTTGATTATTCCCATCTAATTATTTGTATGATTTTTAGTGCCATAATTGTTGAAAGCTGATATTAGAATCTTTAAAGTGGCATATCCTATTCAGCAATGTTTCGTGCTTTATAATAAGAATAATATTGGATGCATTATGCAGTAATAATGGAGATCACATTTGCAAAACCATTGCAGTAATGGGACGTTCTAAAATGTGAGAAATAGAAAAAGCACACTGGAAGAGCAGAGCATGTTTTATTCACAGCCTTTTGGCTGCCTGTACTCTCAGGTCAGAAGGCAGAGAAGAGCTTCTGTGCTCCTCAGGGAGGCACCACACTGGGCTGCGTGATGTAGACCAACCTATATAATTCTGATTGAAGTGGGGGATTTTCAGTCACTGGAATCAAAAGAGGGTGGGAGTGTTGTTGTGTTTGAAAATACTTTTTGCTCTTTGGAATAGATTAAAACTTTATAAATCGAAATTGGATTTTCAAAGAAAGCCTGTATTTGCCACGATTTGGCCTAATAATTTGGTTCCCTTTGAGTTGCTCATAACTTCTGATTGATAGTTTATTTTTAAGATGTTTGGGATAAATATATAAAACATATTTCTTATATATCACTAGTAGAGTTTTTAGGTCAATTTAATGCTGATGAACTTTACTCTGTCCCTCTAATATTTTGGTGTATTCCTTACATTCAACATATGCAAACTCACAGAAGACCATGGTGAACACGAATCTGTAAGGAACCTAAGACATTCTTGGCTATGTGAATTGACACAACAAATGCTGGCTTTGAGTTTTAGATATTTTCTGTGTCAATTGGAAAATTTTATAAAATTTTGATTAAATATTTCCTTTGGCAGCTTAATTCCCCTTAATCTCAGAGTATTCTGTTTAAACCTGTCAAGATTAAACAAAGCTGTGGACATGCCAGGGCAGCAGAGATGAAAGAAAGAGTTAATTTCTTTATTAATAATGTTTTATTTGTTTATTTATTTTCATTTTTTAGCAATGAGGTCTCACTATGTTGTCCAGGCTTGTCTTGAACTCCTGGGCTCAAGTGATCCACCCGCTGGGATTATAGGCATGAGCCACTGCACCTGGCTAAATTTCACTGTGTCTGATTCACAGGAATTATTTTAGCCTGGTGTGTGTGTTCATGTGTAACCTGTCTTTGCTCAGTTTCTCTCATGAAAAAAGGTTTTGTTTTGTTTTCACTTTTTCTCTTTCGGTTTGGAACTATTGAATTGACAATAAAAAACTATTGAACTCAATCTTTCCTAAGGCACTCAGTATTCTCAGGATATTACCATCACTTTTTCCTTGGTGGACCAGGAGGTACAATTCAAGGCAAGAATGTGAAACCATGTCCCACAGAGTCTCAGGCATCAGGAGAAAGCCCATTTTCTTATAGCTGTTACATATAAATTCTGTGTGCCTTCTCTTCCATTCAACTCAGAAATCACCCAAGGAACGTGTGTTAGGCTGTTCTTGTGTTACTATAAATAAATATCTAAGCCTGGGTAATTTATAAAGCAAAGAGGCTTACTTGGCTCGTGATTCTGCAGGCTGTACAGGAATCATGGTGCTGGTATCTGCTCCTGGCAAGGCCTCAGGGAGCTTACAATCATGGTAGAAGGTGAAGAGGCACCAGCCTATCAGATGGCAAGTGAGGGAAAAATAGAAGGGACAGAGGTGCCACACTCTTTCTACACAACCAGATCTTACGTGAACTCAGAGCTAGAACTCACTTGCTATCTCCAGGACAGTACCAAACCATTCATGAGGGACTCAGCCCCGTGACCCAAACACCTCCTACCGGACACACCTCCAACATTGGAAATCATATTTCAAGATAGTATTTGGAGAGGACAGTCATCCAAACTAGATCAGAATGTTTCTGTGCACAGGGAGCCTCACATGAGCCTCATATGAGAAACATATCCAACAGACATGCAATGAGAGGAGAGAGAATGGGCAGCCTCCATTTTGGTGTTTATCTGTTTTTTTTTTTTTTTTTTTTTCTAAACAAGCAAAGGTATTGCCACTTTCCCGGGGCAGGATATTTCATGACTTCAGTCAGCAGCTTCCTGAAGGGCTACTTGAGTAGCCCTTGCTGTGCTCTCTTGGGGCTACAGCCTTTGCTCTTTGGCAGTGATTTGCTCCTGCCCCGTGATTCCAAAATGTCTGAATGCTGTCAGCTTTCCTCCGTATGGTAAAATTATCCCCCTTGAGAAGTGCTCTGCAAATGTGAGGTGGCAATATTGATAATAACACTTTACTCACTGACCCATATTCGCTCTCTCGATAGCACCTTCTTTTCCAAACCCCAAACCTCTCTGGGACTCTGAGTTACCCATTTTTTCTCTTGGGTATATTGGAAGAGGCAACATTATATAGGGGTTAAGAAGGCAAGCTCTGTAGACAGACTCTGTTCAGAGTTCACCACTGCCTCTCTAGCCATGTGAGTGGCGATGGGTTCCTCAATGAGTTTGGTTTCCTAAACTTTAATTAGGGATACTCACAGAATCACTCTTACAGCATCGTTGAGAGAATTAAATGGAGATTGCAAGGGGAAGCCCTTAGCATGGCATCAGGCACATATAACTACTTGGTAAAGATGAACTTTCATTGATTTCCGAAGGTGTTTAGGGTTCTGGTGTTCTAATGGATTTTTCACACAGGTAGAAAAAGGGAGCTGATTCTCATAACTTCATTAATTGCAAAATATTGATCTTCCAATCCTCTTCTTTTATTCTGTCTCATTTGAATGTGAACTTGTGTTCACTAAACAGAGGATAGTGTTGCTACTTCTTTTTGTTTTAGAACACTATACTGGTATGTACATTTTAAAGAATTCGTGGAATTATATATATATATATATATATATATATATATATATATATGTATATATATATGTATATTTACAGTCCAATATTCAGATACTCAAGAACTTCTTCCTTGGTATCCAGTCTTGATGAAGTTGGGGTGGGAGAGGATGAGGCTTGCAAGATATTCCCTGCAAAGAGTGGCCATCTGTCACTTCCTTTCCATAGACACCTACTGTCAGGACTTGGCTGAGTTTCCTGGGGTGGCAGATAGTTTGTGGGGTGCACAGAGGTCTGTGATACACTCACTCTACCTTCTCCTTCTCAGATATCCATTCCCACTGTGCAGAAAGCAAGAGGGTCTGTTGTGATTTTTGCCTGGCATTTCATCATTTGTATATTAACATGTATTAATGTAATAGGCTCACACCTGTAGTCCCAGCCACTCAAGAGGCGGAGGCAGGAGGATTGCTTGAACCCAGAATTTTATACTAGCCTGGGCAACATATCGAGACCTCCATCTCTTAAAAACTAGAACAAACCCCCAAAACTCAAAACGTTTAATATGGAATGAGGTTAGAAATTCATGTTGTAAATGGCCACTTGAAAACCACCCTCAACTCCAAAATTTTAAAAATTCTGCTTCCTTCAGAGGTAGTTATAATGTGAAACTACTGATATCAAGACGGTTTTACTAAATCTGCTAATCTCATTTGATTGCTTTGTTACAGATTGACGTTCTCAAGGCAGATCTGGAAAGCGCAGAATGGAAAGTTCTGGAAAATCTTATTCTGGAAGATGTTCTTGAGCAGATTGGACAGCTCATCTTTGAGATCCATCTCCACTGGCCTGGGTTTGAGGTCAGTGGCAGCGACAGCAGCGTCGTGCGGTTCTGGTACAGCCTTCTCAAAGAGTTAGAACAAAAGGATTTCAGGCTTTTTTACAGTTACAAAGATTTGTCTAAACCTCAGCTATTCCTGAAGAAAGACATTTTCAATGCAAGTAGCTGTTATACTCTGAGTTGGTTGAACACAAGATGGAAATAGGATGCAGGATGTCGTCAGGAGCACAAGAAAATATTTGCAGAATGGAGCGTGTCCATGATTCTAATCGTGAGTTTACTCATCCAGTCTCCTGCTAGCCCATGCCCTGCTTGAGGCAGGGGGTATGTTATTGTCTTTGCAGTACATGAAGCCTGGTGCTTGTCATGTGATAGGGGTACAGTTAATACTAGCTAAAGAAATGAACACGGTCACCCCCATTTGCCCAGACTCTTCCTTCACCTTAACTTGGAAGATAATCCCCCACTCATCTCAGTTTTTCCTAAAATTCTCTATGTATCTATAACCTATAAATTCACCAACAATGAAATGAAATTATATAAATTTCCCGTTTTTACTAGGTTGGTGAGACTTTTAAGTTTTTTGCCTACTGTTTAAAATAGGGCTTTAAATTTGAATTTGATTGTCCTTTTTCAAGGTTTTTCTTATTTACCTTGTCAATGATATTCTTTACAATCTTGTAGATTTCAGTCTTACCTTCTCAGCCTTTGCTGAGGCCATGGTGTGGCTTTATAAGTAGCAATACTTCTGATTTCTGGGAACTCAATGCATCAAATTCTGTCACTAGTTAAAGAGACTAGACTATTATGAGCTCCAACTCGAAGGTGTAAATTCGTTTGAGACCAAGTCTGAAGGCAGGAGATCCATGGCCCAGCTTGAAGACAGCCAGACAGAGAATTAATTTTTCCTTACTCTGCCTTAGGTTCTATTCAGGCCTTCAACCAGTTGAATGAGGTCCAGTCATATTGGGGTGAAGAATCTGCTTTATTCAGTCTACTGATTTAAATATTAATCTCATCTAGAAATATCCTCACAGATACACCTAGAATAATGTTTAATTAAAGATCTGGATACCCTTTAGTCCAGTTAAGTTGACACATAAAATTAACCATTATAGGTAGGTAGGTAGGTAGATAGATAGCTTGATAGATAGCTAGATAGATTTTCCTACTGGCATGTTTCACCATTTTCTTGACTCACATATTCTTTTCTCCATCTTGTTCCTTCAGTTAAAGGCCTTTAATGATTACTTTTTTCCATCTTGTTCCTTCATTAAAGGCCTTTAAAGGGCCAGGCGCGGTGGCTTATGCCTGTAATCCCAGCACTTTGGGAGGCCGAGGCGGGTGGATCACGAGGACAGGAGATCGAGACCATCCTGGTCAAAATGGTGAAACCCCATCTCTACTAAAAATACAAAAAATTAGCTGGGCATGATGGCGCATGCCTGTAATCCCAGCTACTCAGGAGGCTGAGGCAGGAGAATTGCCTGAACCCAGGAGGCGGAGGTTGCAGTGAGCCGAGATGGCGCCATTGCACTCCAGCCTGGGTAACAAGAGTGAAACTCTGTCTCAAAAAAAAAAAAAAAAAGGCCTTTAATAATTACTTCATTATGAGTCCATAAGTCCATAGGTGATACAGTTTGGCTATGTCCCCAACCAGATTTCATCTTGAACTGTAGTTCCCATAATCCCCACGTGTTATGGGAGGGATCCTGTGGGTGGTAATCGCATCATTCCCCCATGCTATTCTCACGATACTGAGTAAGTTCTTGTGAGATCCGATGGTTTTATAAGGGGCATCCCCCTTCGCTTGGCTCTCATTCTTCTCCTTCCTGCTGCCATGTGAAGAAGAATGTGTTTGCTTCCCCTTCCAACATGACTGTAAGTTTCCTGAGGCCCCAGCCATGCTAAACTATGAGTCAACTAAATATCTTTCCTTTATAAATTACTCAGTCTCAGGTACATCTTCATAGCAGTGTGAGAATGGACTAATACAATGGGTTTATGCTTTTTAGATTTTACATATTTGAAAAAGTACTTGCTTTTCATACCTGAATAAAATTTATTTGTGCACAGAAAAAAAAGAACTTCAACTCAAGATGCTTTTCATACTCAACCTTAATTCCCCTTCACTTCCTATTACACTAAGCACAGAGCAGAATCTGGGTGTCTTTGCTGTTGCCTCTTCTGCCTTCAAGCATGATTTTCCACCCGCAGACTTGCCTATGCTGTCAAATCTTTTTTAAAAAATACATGATCTCTAATAATGTTAAGTGCATTTTTCTTTACTTCCAGTTGGCATCACTTACACAATTGTGGTCTGAGGACCTTGTCTTACTTTCCTAGGTTAGACAGTTTTTCAATAGCACCAAGCCTTTCTACGTTAAAAATTAAGTGGAAAGTTTAGGTTCTCAGTGGTTCAAATGCTCCCTCTCATTACTAGTTACAGGATTAAACACGTTCGTAATTTTCTAAAATCCTATTTCAAATAAATAGCATAAAAACCAAATTATTACCTTATTGTCAATTAAATATATTTTTGGCATTTTCATAACCTGAGAGAGTATAAAACTGTATGTACATTGTTCAAAAATTGGGGGAGGCAGTAGAATACTGATTATTACTAGACTTTACCCCTTTTCCTGATTTTGTACTTCCGTCTATCCTCGACATTCCCCAGGTTGGCTCTTTGTTCCTTGAAGTGGTTTGAAAATGCCATTCCTCAACTGAGAAATCAAATTATATTAGACTAGGATGAACTTACTAGCTTGAGTTGAAAAGAGAACAGGACTTTCTGAGTTAGTTGTGATAATTTAAAAAATATAGACATGAGGCTTTTATTTTAAGATTCATAGTCCACTGTCTAACATGGTACAAACCCGTCTCTACTAACAATACTAAACAAAAATTAGCTGGGCATGGTGGCATGCCCCTGAAGTCCCAGCCACTTGGGAGGCTGAGGCAGGAGAATTGCTGGAACCTGGGAGGCGGAGGTTGCAGTGAGCCGAGATCGTGCCACTGCACTCCAGCCTGGGAAACAGAGTGGGACTCTGTCTCAAAAAAAAAAAAAAAGAAACTTTGAGAGGTTAAATGGTTTATATAGATTACTCAAGTTGTAGATGGAGGAACAATCATTTACGTTTCTGTCTGTCAGATCCCAAAAGGTCTGTGTTTGGTCCCATTCACAATGCTGCTTCCACAGCCTGTACCAAACATCAGATGCTTTGTCCAAAAGACACATTTTGGCCTCCCTGTTAGTAAAAGATGGGAGAAAAAAACTACAAATAGTAAAGACCTGCAAGTCTGAGTCAGAATCGTTTTGTAGCATTCAGGTTTGCTGAACTTAATTAAATCATTTACTTGATTAAGTATGCCTGCCAACTGGAAACTTACTGAAGAAATATGGAGACACGACAACTTCTCTGTCAATATATTTAGGCTGCCAGGAAAGCTCTTGCAGGCCTGGAAGTGACTCTTCTTCTGGCTTGTCCCAATACTTGTCACTTTTCTGCCTGGGTTTTAGAAATGGCAGTCACTTGGAGTTGCTTAAGCAAAGTAATTCTCTTTTGCTTAATACTAGTCTTTGACTTGCAGGTAAATGAGCTAAGATGTGAATATCTGGGACATGCATCTCCTTCATTTGTACTAGAGCATGTTCATAAGTGATTCTGAAAATACACATTTGATAATGCTCTTATCAAATGAGTAACAATGCTCTCTTGTAGGTGTGAGACATATGAGGATGGAAGAGATTCACAAGTTGCCTTTTAGCATAAACTCTGTCATAATTTGTCAAAGAAAAATAATTTTCCCCTTATTTCTTACTGTGCTTGTATTTTGATGCAGTTATAATATAAAAGGTTATCATATAAATATTTGTAACTACTTGACATGTTCAAATGAAGAGCTAGGGGAAGTGGGGAAGTGAACAAATTTCTACTAGAATTGACTGAAGGTCCAAATTTACCTTAGGATAGGGCATAAACAAACTCATGGGTTTACAGTGAGTAATCCAAATCAGTTATTCATGTAAGCGTTTTTGCCTTGATTATAAGATCTTTTAGTAAGTATAAGAATTGCATTTCTTAAGTATTAAATGTTTGGATTTTGCAAAGCTTGGATTAGTCCCAGGAAGCCATGCTTATCATATTTTGCCAGTGTAAAAATGATGACCTCATTTAAATAGATCATTCTACTTAACAATACAACAGGAACTCCAAGCTCAATTAGTGTAATTGTTCTTTTCTGGTGGAGATAAATTTATGTTTGATTCTTAAGCAGTAACGTAATTCTTTTTGAACTAGCCAATTGCTGATACTCTGTGGATTCAATGATACATTTAACTTTATGCTAAAATGTCTTACTTTTTCTTACATTGAAAGAGGTACTTGAACTTATCAGATAAAATTATAACCCAAAGATTCAATATATTCCTCAAACTGCTTACATGTAGAGATTATTAGAATTCTTTAAATGATTTGATGGTATTTCTTAAGAAATATAAATCAAGCATTCTTAATGTTGTCACACTTTATAACTGTATGGAGGCGGGGTGCAGTGGCATATGCCTGTACTCCCAGCTACGTGGGAGGATCACGGGAGTACAGGAGTTTGAGACCCGCCTGGGGACCACAGTGAGACTTAAAAAAAAAAAAAAAAAGAACTATGTGGAAAAATGGTTCTCAACACATTAAAATTTAATGCTTTCTTAAAACCAGCAACTTCTTGTTTTTCTCAGATAGACTATTTCAACTTTTTCTTAGTAATTAGTTTTGTCCAATATGACTATCTGAAATAATAAGAGATTTCAATTTGGGGGATCAAATTTGACTAAACTATTCAACACTAGACTGGATAATTTCAGTACAGAAACCAAGTGTGCAGAGGACTGATATCTAATCAGTATGTACCAGTAGAGAAGAGCTATTGTGCAACATGGTGATTAGAGTTAATAGCAATGTATCATATACTGGGAAATTGCTGAGAGTAGATTTAAAATATTCTCACCAGAAAAAATAAGTATTTGAGGTAATGGATGTGTTAATTAGTTGACTTAGTATTCCACAATTATACATAAAACAAAATATCGCGTTGTGTGCCATACATATATACAATTTATTTGTCAACTAAAAAAAAAGTATGTCCTTTGGAACATATTGGACATATTTATACTTTTTAAAGAAAGTACCAGTAGAGACATAGTGGTTCCCCAATGGTCCCTCTCCACTGGAGACACTCTCACAGGATGCCCAGGCCTTTC